TATGCGTCATCACCGCTTCACAGATTGAGTATAGATACTATTAACAAGCGCGAATAATACATTGTGCATGTATTGTAACAATACACATGTATTATTATCTATTGATAGTAAACAAGTACAGCTGCGCATTCACATATCGACAGTTAATATCTATATAGTGACGAAACACACATTCCTCAATACCCTCCCCATGTATTTGTGGGAATTCTGATATGAGAGAGAATTACTGTAAACATAAATGGTAAATATGAACGCTTGAAGCATGGTGGCTGTTGACAGTCATGCGTCGGTGTAGCAACATGCGGTGATGCACATTCTATAGGGTGGCATGTACGGAGCATAGCTTACATCAGCATGTATATACGAACGAGTTAATTTATCAGGTGTCTTTATTGTTGAATCACAGCTAGTGTTACTAAACTCTACCGCACGCAATTGCAACCCTCAATATTTTCTGTGAATTCTCTGAAAACTATTGTCCGTCTTCTTTGCTATATAGTTTTTCGGTTATTCTGACCCGATATCTCCAGCTTTATACAGCGTGTACGTACTGCCAAATTAAAAGTCACGACTTCGCTGTAAAATCGCGATGAAAAAGGCTAAGAGGGCACCTTAGCTATCTTATGTAAGACAAAAGAATGATCATCCGAACACGAGTATTGGTAAATTGTGAAGCACATTGATTATGGTTATTTAGATCGCTCAATAACAACGTTCATTTCTAAGAATTAAATTATACTAACTCGTGGTGATGATCCAATAAAGCAGCCCCAGCTCGCATATACACAGTATCATTTTTTTGCTGTCATTAAAAAATTCAACTATTAACTAAACTTCACAAAAATCAACGTGCGTTGTTCTCACCACAAACCCGTATTCCACCAACGTGGAATGTTTCGTTATGAAGAATTCGAACTGGCAGACGATTTACCTTCTCAATTGATTATATACACTCTTGGGCCAAATACTACAAACGGCGAAAACCAGATGTGCAAATCTTTGTTGCTGTTTGTCTAAGTATACACAACACAAAACACGGCTATAAACGCGCAATTAACTGATATTCTTGTAAAATATCACTGTCCTAAATGGTGCAATATTGGTAAATGTTTATTGTGTGGCAGTTTGAAAACAATTTTAATCCTGCTATTTAACCACAAACAAAAATCAACATACGAGCGCGTGAATTGCAAGAAATGGTAAGCAAGAAAGATCGAAACCACTTATTCCCACGCACGTACAATACTCATCCAAAAGCCAGAAGCTAGAAAAACGAAAAACGAATGTGGAATGTCCTACGATATCAAAAAACCAAAATGTGATTTAAGACAAGAAAACAATTAATTTTATAGACTTTAACCAATAAATCTCGTTGAATCTGTAGAAAACATAACGTCATGCAGTAAGACCAGTATCACGGGGACAGACTGAACTGAGGTGAGACATTTTACGTGTGCATAATTGCAATCACCATCATAATTTTTATGACAACTGAATTTTTTATCAGTAACGCCCGTTTTGCGGTATATATATATATACGGCGCATATACAATAACAAATATAATAAATAAAATAATAAAACAAAAAAAAATGTCATATTTGTCATTATTACACCTGATAATGACAAAGGATCTCAACGACGGGGGGGGGGGTGAAATATGGCGACGAGTAATTATAATCACTCGCAATCATATACCGACCATATACACAGCCTCGCAACCAGCGTACGATAACACCAGGAGTGTATAATATAGAGATTCTTATATACTCTATATTATATACTCTATATTATACACGCCTGATAAAACACGTCATACACACGGACCCAGAGACGAACTCGTGATCAAGTTTTTACGCGATTCGGGCGTGTACGCTCACACTGTCGCATCCACGAGTAATTTGTACTAATTTATTGCCAGTACGAAGTTTCGCCAGCAGCTAATCAGGCGTGAATGTGTGCGGTCTCTATCATACTGCTGATTGTATACCGACGCTGCGCTCACTCTCCTACGCGGTCTGGTCGGCGGCAGTGAGCACTCTCGCAATCTCGACTACATCACAGCTTCTCACCGCACAAAATATTTGGATAAACCAGCGGCACGTGTCCATTACGCTGCTGTTACGCTCCATCATGCGCCCACCCCGGAGCGCGCACTCCCCCACCCCCACCCCCGACACGGTGAATGGGCCGATCCGGCACGAATCCGATACCCAGACATGGACTCCATTTTTGGTAGCCTGAATTAAAAGCACTCTGTGTGGGCACGCGTAGCGCTGAAAAACAACATAGGCGCATGTATAATTGGCGGCATGCCTGCACGTGACATCACAGCTTCCCTCGCATCCTCATCCTCAGCACTCAAAAGATGACTCATCTAGTGAGCATGGCTTCACAGCAACACACACCTTCTCTGAGTTCATCGAAATAACGAGATATAACTATATACGGGATGAGCAAATCAATTTACATTTCGTTGCATGCTAGACTTTATGTCGGGGCCAAGGGGAAACTGTTTTTACAAACAAGTTCTTCAAATAACATGAAATCAGATGAGCAATTTTCTGGTTAAAAAGTTTATATACGTTGCCACAAACTAAGGTATAGATAACTTTATGTTACTGTAATCTTCTTCAGATTTATAATGTCATATTATGTCAGGTACCAATAAATAATATATATGACGCAGCTAGGTTTGAGCAAGGCAAGAAGAAGCGCTTGAGATCTAGGTGATGATGAAGAGAGATTAATTTTTCTATATTTTCTGTTTAATGTTTAATAAATAAGAAAACACTCATATTTCGTTTATGCTTTCATATTTATGCGGATTCGGCTGTCACGTCATCCATCAGTCCTTCTATATCATCCATCACTCGCCCACCATGCCTGACGCTTGTGGAATAGCTTCTACATTCCCCCCACTCCTTCTTTACAAACGCAGTAGCAAAAAATATTAACTGCGCAATGTTTCGTGGCAAATGACACGAAAAAATATGAACATCTATTGCATCAATTTACATCTATCTCACATACATAGCTATTGAATCTTGTTTTTTCTGTCACTATCTAGATCACTACCTATTTCCAGGCATACTAGAACTTGCTATAAGGCAGTGAAATCATCGGCACGCGCGGTTCGACAGAAAAAGATCCAAGCAGGGCTTCAGTAAACGAAGATACCGAAACAGACGTGTGTGCCAAAAAACTCGCATACGCTTGCATTCGCTAATCATTCCGATACTAGCAGCTTTAATCGTCAGAGCTCGGGACACACCAGACACTTTTATAATGATACATGTTGCATAGTTAACGATATCTACTTAGCAGCGAGGTAACGAGTGAATCAATAGACGTCATAGAGACATTATGTGCATACTGACGCATGAGACTAGCCACGGAAAACTCCATATAACGAGCTAATGTAGAATTGTATTAATCAGCATATATTTTTGGGATAATAATCTATTATGCAGTTGTTTTTAAATTAATTTATAATTTCAAGAAATATATTTTGAGTAATAAGTTGGTAAACCATATACACCTCTGTGTAACGCTCATTGGTACTTACAGTATCATTCTATTCAAAATTTCTGCTGCTGCACAGTTACGTGGTTTCAGCGAAGAAGCTGCGAACAGTTTCATTTACATCAACTTGCTCAAAATATATTCCTCAAATTATGAATTAATTTAAACACAACTGCATGATAGATTATTATCCCAAAAATACATGCTGATTAATGCTGATATAGGATGAGATTGCTTATTAAGCAATCGACAAGCAATCGATGTGTTCGATCGCTTGTGGATTGCTTAAATTTTTGTAAGGGTAATTACCTAATTATGAACTGATAATGTCATTGAATCACTGATCACAATGCGATGATAATGATCAGCCAAACCAGCCCTCTTAAACGTCTGTGGAGCTGGTGGATAAAGCAGGGGACACCATGCGAATTTATTCGCACGACAGCAGCGATTGTTAAAATCGCAGCAAAATTCGCATAGTGTGTGCGCTCAAGCGCTGGCGAATATTATCCGCACCGAAATTCGCAGCTATCAAACATGTTTGATATTTTCGCTGCGAATTTTTATCGCTGCGTACAGATTCGCATTGTGTCCGTGGAAGCGAAAATCGAGCCGGCCGATGTTATAATGCAGCGAATCATTGATCAGTATGCTAATCACGTGCCATCTTTCACCAGAGATCACATGACTGTTGCAGCCATGGCTGGAGCCGTGTGGCGACAATAGATCGCGTGTAGTGTGTCCGCTCAATTTATCGCATGCGGGTGCGGATCTGATCGCGGTGAAATTCGCATAGTGTGTCCCCCGCTTAAGTAGACTAGATTACACCAATGCTGTAACCCCACGCAGATAGTAGTCACTACAATGAGATACACTAGGAGCTAGGATATCTCACTAGGAGCTGTTGCACGGGGATCTCATGCCAAGTGAATTTTTTGTATGTAGAATTCGCGTCTAGATCGTACACTACGAGAGGGTGGTATCACTTTAGTATCAGCTAACACCCTGTTTTTCTGGACATCATTTGCAGCGCCGGAGAACAAAAATATGTAAACAGTATGGAAAGTGGGTGCTAAATGTGGCAGATTGTCCCACGCAATCATTCTCCAGCAACAATCGTGAATCTCAGTGGAAAACAGAATTTGGCATTGTAAAACCACCACTCGTTCCACCACTCGTAATATTTATTGTTGCAGAAGTAGTTTTAGAATAGTTCTAGGCCTTTTAATATTGATCATCCTTTTTATATTTTATCTTATTCTTCAACATAGTTTATACATGAAGCTTAGAGACTAGGTGGAAAGATGTGGTAGACACATGACCACAATAGTATAAAGCAGAAAAAAGCACTTCAAGTAGAAATTTCTTCTTTCCAGACACACCTAACTCTTCATAACACTCCCCCCATAAGTTCATAAGAAAGAATAGTTTCACCCTTACTTTCTGCCGAATGCAATCCACATCAAAACGCAAAAGACTCTTACCTTCTTGTAGTCTTTCTTCGATTCATTTTCTATTTGCTCGTAGCTGGATAAGCTACTGCTAACCGGTCTGGAAGCTGGAGTGGCGCGCTCGGAGGACGCAGGCGAGGGGTCAGACGCAAATCTTGCTCGGTAACGCTCGGAAAGACTCTGCAAGAATGAAAGTGGCATAGAATCAGTCTAGCTGCTAGCAAAGCATGCAGCACAGCAGAAAAACAGAAGCCCTAGTGACGTTGCCAGCTATTAAACCAGGAGGGTATAATATAGACTATATCATACATTATATTATATACTAATAATACTATAGTATACTATCGGCATCCGTTCATCTACGTGAGATGGTGGATATGCAGCAACATGTCATATCTGGTGAGGCCACGCAGTTGTTCATTAGTATACATTATATTATATACTATATTATACACCATATTAGTCTATATTATACACTCCTGATTACACCATGCGGTGAGGGCGTGGGTCAAAAAAGTGATCAGGGTGACACTTAACGGTCTAAATTTCGGAATGGCTATGCAATTAAAAATCATCGTTGTTGTCCATCGTGTTGCACGAACACATGGATGGAGTTTGAGAAGGGCTTCACTATGAGCCTGGAATGCTGTTCATTACACGCTGTCACAGAAGTGCCATGCATCCATCTCCAAATATGCATGCAGCATTCCTTCTCTACCAGTCACTATTACATGACTACCACAGCCGACTTTAGCAGATAGAGCGAGTCAGTTCCCGAGTTTCCTACAGCCACTGTACCATAGATTTCCAGCTGCCTTGTAACAGCTATCGTTAGGGAGAATGTTATATAGGCAATGCAAGTTCCCTGGTCATGACGTCATACGGTGCATGTAAACAGCAACCGCCCAGTCGCGATGTATTCGACTATTCAAACGCTATTCGCGACTGACCCATTAAAGCGAACGCTAAGTAGAAACTACGTTGTATTTATATTATTTAAAAGCTGCATAGCTGCATGCGCACACGCACATACACATGAGAAAACTATTTCACAAACCAGCCAAAGAAAGCGCTTGTAGATTATTGATTGCAACTCTTACACATGAGTACTCTTGCACAATCTACACATGAGTCTGCAAAAGGTTGAAAGCTTGTTTCGTCGCTCAATGACGTCACAGTGTCAACTGCACAAAATGTTCAATTTTTTTTTTAATAGGGTTAGGGTTATGGTTAGGGTTAGGGTTTCCAGTTGGCGTTAAGGTCAGGGTTAGGGTTAGGGTCACAATGCACCTTAAAACAGGAGTTTGAGTCCGTACGGACGTGACGACACTTGTGACGTCATTGAGCGACGAAAAAGCTTTCAACCTCTTGCCATGAGTCTAGGGAAATGGATGTCCTTAATTCAATTGAAGTGTGACTACCACTTCCAAGCATTGGGTGTTCTCGATTACTTATAGTGATTGAAATATGCGATGCAATCGTATGAGCATCTATCTGGATACCGGTGAAAGTCACTAGCTGGGCACCTGCAAATCCTTTCTACAGTTCACAGTCTACGTTAAGAGTCGACTGGAGAGATATGCTACTAGTATCTACATCAACGGCGATAGCTTGCACATCTTACGGGCGTTTAGCTGTTACTGAACTGCAAAAAATATTTCACAAAACTCCTTGATATGAGATACGATCGACATTTACATAGAAAACGCGTATTCTGCGCCACCATACTAGAATAGGCTGCAATGTTTTGAGCTTCTAACTTTTCATGGACCATATAGTGCCGTTGCACCTGGATTCCTTTGGTTTTTATAACAGGCTTTGCTTATATTAGCAAGGCTTGGGGTGGGGTTGTTAGACTCATGCTACACATGCAATATGCATGATGAAAACTCACTATAAAATAGGCTTCACCACTAATAATACTTGAGAATTATCAAGTAGTGGAATGATTATTTGTAAGCCGTTGCATTGTGAATACACGACGGAATCTATGATGAACAAATAGTAGTATCGCATATATATATATATATATAAAGATATATATATATATATATATATATATATATACCTGGCATTGTATAGTGCTGCTACATACAGATCGCTGGATCAAATTGCAAGTGTAACTTGATGTAGGCTAATATATGACGATTTCACTGACTACTCATTACTTGCTGTTTGTCGAACAAGACCAAGAACCTCGTAAAAGTGACAAGACACATTCACAAATTAAACACACGCACGCACGCACGCACGCACGCACGAGCACGCACGCACGCACACACACACATGCATGCATACTCATTCAAACAAGCTCCTCACGCGCGCGCACTCACGCACGCTCACAACAGCACACGTCATGCCCACACGAACGAACGCGCGCGCAACACACACACGCACGCACGCACGCACGCACGCACGCACGCACCACATACATACACACATCATGCATGCACATACGGACCAACGATAGTATGCACGCGTGCAAGCACACACGCGCACGCACGCGCACGCACGCGGACGCACGCACGCGCACGCACGCGGACGCACACAGCGACACGCGCACGCACGCGGGCGCACACACGCGCACGCACGCGGACGCACACACGCGCGCGCTATCGCATTTCCTACACAATGATGCAGGAAACTGAACTTCACCGACTTGAATAGCATCTGTGAACTAAATATAGGCCTACACCCTACAGACAGGACATAACGTTTTATATAGCAGTGGCTGTAGCACCCTAAGTGCCACATCCGCGGCTTGTCGCTACGCCTAGTTCCCACAGCTGCTCTCAGTCTAGTTCAGGATGTTGTAACAACGTTGCCGGTTAGTTTTCCCGGCAGCAGCCAACAGCTTGTACATCAAATAATCTATACGCATCTATATCAGGAGCTAATAATGACAAATTTGTCATTATTAGCTCCTGATCTATATGCATCTATGTATCTATCAATAGTACATAATAGAGACCTCTATTATGTAGGGCCTACTCTTGGTATCTATGTATCATATCAAGAGTCCATAATAACAAAATTCTATTAATAACATCATTGTTCATGGTTAAATCCTTAAATTAAACCACAATTAAAAAAATATTTGTTTGCCCTCACCCGACCCAGGCTGAAAAGTTTGGGTAGGTAGGTAGGCTTAACATTTTTTTGAGGGGGGTCTTTTTACAAATTCAGCATAGTGTCTACATGCTCGGGTGTGCTTGTGTGGGGATACCTTTTATGTTGAATGTTTGTTTTGATTGGTACATATAATGTATTGCCTACAGATTTATATAATGTACAGTGATACAATTTGTATAAAAAAAAGAATGGTAAATATCAATAAAAATGTTTGAGTCGGCCCATTTTTGGCGGGTCGTCGGGTGAGGGCAAACAAACAATATTTTTATTATGGCCTTATTTACCTTGACAGTTTCAGCTGTCGTTCTGACAGCCATCTTCAGAACTTACTAAGTTCTGAAGAACTTACTAAGTTCTGAAGATGGCTGTCAGAACGACAGCTGAAACTGTCAAGGTAAATAATTTAAGGATTTAACTATGAACAATGATGTTATTAATGTTTTAAAAGAAATCCGACAATGAACTTTCAAGATTAACAAAATTCTATTATGGACTCATGATCATATGTATCTAGATGCTGCATCGATTATACCAGAAGTAGATAAAAGGCGATTTCCCTATTATCTACTTCTGATCTATACGTATCTCTTCTGATCAGACGTTGGATTTCAGGTGGGTCGCTGATATGCCACTGACATGGGCATAACAATGTTAACCGATAAGACATCGCCATCAGGCAGACGCTCAAAGGTCGGTACGTTGTTTATTGAATCGCCATCCCTTCCGCCCTACCGCCCCACCTGCCTAAATAGGAATTAGAACCATTACAGTAATGTTACTCTCAAGGTTACAATGATCCTCTGAGCTGTCTGAATTTGCCCGCAGTTTGACATGGCGATTGCACGGGCAAACACACGTTGAGCGCCTCGAGCAAGGTATTTATCGTTAGGCTATGTGGTAAAAATGAACTATCACCAATGTCACACTTTCTTGTCTACATTATATTTAAAAAGCAGGTCCTACCAATAGCAAATGCAATGATATGCAACAGGAAACATGCGTATAGAAGGTGATTCTAGGCGAATAGTTACTGCAAACGGTTAATTAGTCTTTGGCACACATGCAATCGGGGCCCCTTACAGGGAATCGAAGCTTTCAAAATTAGCGAGTAAAAACACTGCCTATATTATTCATTATGTAATAATGTTTTTTGTCTGCAAGCATTGTTTTGGATGAACGCACATACTGGTTATTATGCATGACGAAGCTGAGCTAAGTAGCTCCGAGGAGCATTGATAAAGGCGCATACACTGATAAAGGTTGCTTACAGTAATAACCCGCGTATAAGAACATAGATTTTTCCAAGTTAGCCTCAACATGTTCTTATATAAATGGTGCTTACTGAAAAATTAGGCTCAAAAGGTTCTTAAATAGGTTCTTAATTGTTTCTACTTTAATATGTATACGCTTATACTTGATTCAAATTGTGTTAAAATTTTCTTACAAGAACTGCAATTTTTGCTAATTAATACCATGATGGGCTACAGTGTAAGTTTTTCAGTGCTTACCATACTGTATGATACAGTATGTATCCAAGGAAACAAAACAACATGCAAAAAGATGCGTGTTTCTGTTTAAGTCTTCATCTGCATGAAAAATTAAGAACCTACTTTAAAATCTGAGCCTAAAACAGGTTCTTATGAAAGGGTCTAAATGGGAAATTTAGCCTAACAGTAACATGTCTTAAAATCTATGTTCTTATACGCGGGTTATTACTGTATGTGGTATGTGCATTGCACGTCGCATACCTCCCCAGCGCCCCATACAGTCTTGCTGCAAGATTTACATGTCCAATGACAGCCACCATTAATCTTGCCCGACCTATATATAGTGACATAGGTCAATAGGTTTTTTAACACAAAAAGAAATACCAAATGTAGAAAATGCGGAAGAACAAGACGCACAATAAACACACATATTTGTTTTTCTTTTACGTTTCGGCGCGGCGCACTTGCTAACTGTCAGTTAATTTACATGAGTGTTTACAATGTGAATGTCAATATTATGTATGTTATCAGTATATGGGTTAAAGAGTGAACGTGAATCGC